GGGGGGGGTTGAACCGTAAAAGCGATATACATACCGCTCGCCCCACACCCTCTGCTCCCTTCATCCGCAGCACAGCAGCACCAGCAGCGTAGTGTGTTCGTTATTGCAGCCACACTGGCCGTGACACCACCTGCACTAATTTGTCGAGTTAGTTTGTGTTGCGGGCTGCCTACACACTGAAAAGTCCCGCCCGCTCCCGCACCCATCCCCCGAACGAACATACACACCTCTCATCGCTTTGAAAGGGGCCCATGTTCGCCATATAATATCAGCAAGCCCCTCCAAAAAAGTGAAATCAGAATACTCTGTGTGGCAGCGCGGCTTTGATATTTGGCGCGCTGCAAGTGAGCGGGTGCAGGTGCACGACTGCACGTCCGGTGCACCCACTAAGCCGTTAATGTCCGCCCCCCGCTGGGCTGGGCGGCTCGGTACGCGGCCACATCATGGACCACCCTATGGTCGCGCCTATGTGCTGCCTATGGGCACTATGGGCCCGGCCGGCCGGGCCGGGGCTAAGCCCTGCGAGCGGCCCCCGGGCCCTGCATTAGTTCGGTAAGCCCCGCCGCCGCCCCCGCCGCCGAGCTCGGTGACCATCCTGACCAGAGGGCTGATGTGGGGTGCGTAGCGCTGACCGCGCTTTTACTCACGTGTGTGCGGGTGGGATTGAGAGAGTGAGGCCACTCCAGCATCGCCGTTTACCAGTTTGTGGAAAACCGGAACCGGAAACGCCTTTTTCCTCGCGTAAAGACAGCTACTAGGGACCGATGTACAAACTGTCTGAGTGTAACTTATTTTTAACTATGTGTCCCAAAAAATTAATTAAAAATAGGAGTTATGGATCAGGGCCATCAGGTAAGAATAACGTTAGCAGTAGCAGGTGCCTACCACTGACACTTGCGTGTTCTATTCGATTCCTCCTCGCGCCTCCCGAAGTTTCTTTGAAAATTCCTCATTTTTCTTTTGCTTGTTTTCTCGGAGGCGAAGGCGAGTACTGCACTGAGCGTTGGTCGGTAGCGCTTGGGGGAGCACTGGCCGTTAACACCGCTGTCTGAGGACTCGCGATGTCCTGAGAACACACAGTGTGCGGGGGGCCCGGGTTAGGGGGAGGGGGAGGGGGGTGTGGTGGAATTGCGAGGCCTCCTGGCCGCCGCCGCCGCCGCGCCAAGCCGCCGGAAGCGCGCCTCCTGCGAATTTAATTGCTACCGTTTTGTATGGCTGCGGTGCGAAGACCAGCCCGACGGGTTCCTCCGCAGCGCCGCTACACAGCAAACAAACAAGCGACAAATAATCCCCATGATACACGTCTCGTCCAACAAAAACAACAACACTGTTCGGGTTGGAATAACGTCTGACACGAAAATTTCGTGATGGTGGTTGGTCTACATACGGGATGGGCGACGTTGAATGCGGGGTGCGACGCGCGCGCGCATACACACACACACACACTCTCGCACACTCACACTCACACACTCACACTCACACACCTGCTTCCATTGGCCCGGGGCGTCACCGCCGAGGGCGAGGGAATTACCTAGGAGAGCAGCGCGCCGTCCTCAGCGACAAGTCCCTTCTCCCTGCTCCTGGCCGGGCGGCGGGCCCCACGGAAGGAGCAGGCGCGGTCTCGGCTCGGCCGGGTAATTGCGTCCAACACGATAGGTTTCTAATGTCCATCCCCCCCGTCCACGACAGCCCCACGGCTGACGCCTCCTGCCTCGTGGCCGAGTGTCTCGTAGATGCCTCACTGCTGTCTCGTGGAGCCTTTGTTTGTATCATTGCTGTATCATGTCTGCTGGCTCATGTCTCATAGAAGCTGGGCCCAACTTTCTTAGCTGACTTGCAGGTCAGGGTTGTCTCATGACTGCCTCTTGATGATCAGCCCACGGTTTGCTTCATGCCTCGCTCCATGGCATGCCTCATAGCCGCCACATTGCAAACCCACGTGTCCCTCACGGCGGCGGCGTGGCCTCACCAACACGCGCGTGCACGCACACGACGTGTCACGGCTGGCGGCCGCCGCCGCCGCGGCCCGGTACCTCTGCAGCAGAACGCGTGCGCACGCGCGCGAAGTCCGCGCGTCTAGTCGGCTATATAGTCCATCGTTGTGTTTGTTGTCTGTGTTGTACACATTCGCTAGCCGGCGAATGAAAAATGAGCGGCCATACTGCGCCGGACACGAGCATGAGGCGCAGGCCACGCCCGAACCACCGGCTCGAACTAGACCGCGCGGTGCGCGGCGGTCAGCCCTGCTGCTGCCGTACGGCTCCGCCCTCCCGCTAGCCGCGGCCGCGAGCCTGCCGAAAAATTTTCGGGTATTTTTGTTTTGATTTTAATGTCCGAAAATCCCCGATCGCTCTGTGGTCCTCATGCTAGTAGAGGTGAAAGGGCAAGGAGAGACAGTTTTGGGAGACTGTTTCAAAGAAAGGGGCGGGGAGAGCCAATAAGCTATAACAGCGTCGTCGTCCTGCGTGGAAAGATTTTCTCCCCTCCTCGACTATTTGACATGGACGCGTGGAGTCCGGTAGGAGACCAGTTTGGGTGCGCAGCATACACGCGAAGCAGCCAGGGATGCCCGGCGGCGAACGCACACACATGCACACACACACACACGCAGAGGGCCGGGTAGCCCGTCGGGGGCGTGCCCGGGGAGGCCAGGATAGCGGCTGCTCCGGCTCATGGAGCGGCTCGTGGAGCGGGGCCCCACTGGGGCCCATGGGCTCATGGCCTGGACTGCGATGGACCGCCCGGGCCAGCGGCCAATCAGCCCTTTACATGTCCGCGCTTAATGATCCGCTGTCCAGCTCCCCCTCACTACCCTCCTTCCACCACCCTCCCCCTCCACCCCCTGCCCCCAGTGTGCCCGGCGCAGCCCGTTCGGAGAGAAACACGGGGTGCGCGCGGTGCTCTCGCAACCCCTTCCGGCTGACTTCTATACCTCCCTATCCATCCCACGCCCCAAAGCTCCCCTCTACCTCTCCACGCACCCACCCATGCCCTTTCTGTACTCCTCTAAACTCCATTGTGGCATTTTGGATTTATTTTTGTTTGGGCCATTTTCGGGCACATCAGTTGGTTTTATAAAAGTTTTTAAAAAGTTTTTATAAATGGATTTTGACAGTCAAGTTGAAAGAAACTCGGCACAAGAGGCGACCCTAATGAGGGCGCGTGCAACGTACTGGGTAGGTGATCACTATAAGGGCACTTTTCAAGTTGTTCAGCTTCATTTTCAGACAGTCGCTCTAATATAGAAGGAAAAGTCCCCCTCCCCCCTTTGCTAGCGCAGAGCGGGCGACCGGTGTGTGTCATCACATGTGTGTGTTTTTTTTTAAATAAAATAAGTCTAATACTCGGTGAGTATGACCACCATGTGGCCACACTTTGCTGGCGGTTCGAACCCTTGAGAGCATAAGAGTAGTACGTTGGGAGGATGCACATCCACACCGCATGTATTAAAGCTCCTTTTTCAAGGTTTATATGTCATTTGGAAAGTATTAAGTGAAAGGCACGACCTGGAAGTACTCTTACCAGACCGCGCATCGGCCTCATTACTCTTTCTGACCACCAGTTTTCAAATCTTCGCGCGCTTTCTGTAGAGGCGAGAGTGGGCAGGAGGGGAGTTCGAGCTATCGACTTCAGAGCTCGCTCGCCACTCCCTCCGCTTTAGTTGTTGTTGGTTTTGTTGTTTGTTGTTATCTCTCATTTGAATTCTTTGAAAACATGAGTGTACCTACAGAACTTTCCCTAGAAGCTGTGAAGAAATTTATGTTGGAAAATGGAGGAAAAGTTACTAATCACGACCTTGTGAAGCATTTTAAACAATTCCTCACGAATCCTGTCAATCGAGGTTAGTAATGAATGTTGGTCGTTGCTGGAGGTTAAGTTGTTACAATTTTGTTTATTTTAGTAGATTGCTGTACATAACACTCACGGTGAAACATAAAATGATCACATAATTTGAAATTCTGACATTTTTACCCAAGATGTCTCAGAACTTATCTATATTAGTTGTATTTTAAGTAATCTTAACCTGTCACATCAACAACAGATACTGTTGTCAGTGTTTCACAGGATAGTTTTATTAGATTCAATCGTGTACATGGCCATGAAGAACTTAATTGGAGTTATTATTGTTTTAAAAACTCGGTGAGTTGTACGCAGACGGCTAGATTTTGGTTCAATGAGGAGCAAGCGAATGTGTTCAATGTTCTGCTCTACTTTTAGTGTTCCAATTACTTTGATTTGAAAAATGTAGCTTGGCTATCATCTTATTGTCCATTATTGCAATTAAATTTTGTTTTTAATTTTTTGTGACTGTTGTGCAATGAACTTTCACCGTCTCTGATTTGAAATGACAGGATTGTTCAACAAGTGGTTGGTTACACATTTCCGATATTTTTCTTTAGTTTGGGCTGGATGGTGCAATATTAAAACCGGTGAACCAGTTGATCTTATAAAATCCCTCTAACTTGTCATTTTGTTTGTTTTAGTGGAAGCCCGAGAACATTTTAAAGAAATAGTTAATGTTGTAGCAACGATTCGCACAGAAGAGGTTTGTGATCCTTATTTATTTTCGTACCAGCCTCATTTTTATGAATTGGCATTTTATCCCTATGTTTTTACTCTCCACCATTCAGGGAGAAAAGTTTCTTGTCCTTAAAAAGAAGTATCGGGAACCAGAAAACTATGAGTCATCGCTCCTCCCTTCCTTCCCAACATCACCTGTCCCTTCAGAAAGTTTGTCCCTTAATCCAAACTATGAGTCTGTTTGCTCGTTTTCCCCTCTACAATATAGTCACTTGGCTACTAGTAATACAAGTTTATATACTTCTCCATCACAACCCTACTCACAATCTCCAGACCCCATGTCACCTTCTCGTGCTCCACCACCATATAGAGCTCCCCCACCTCCAGTTGTATCTCCAACTAGAGGACCTCCGCCAGCTCCTCACATTTTGATGCCTCCACCTCCTCCACCATCGAACAAAGGTCGTCCTCCTCCAATTACGGCCTTGCTCTCAGAAGAAGCTGCAACTGCGGAACTTGCCAGACAGTCTAGTATTGACTCCATTGATGGGGCTGATGACCCTTCCACTGCGCCACCTGTTCCACCACGGAGGAAAAGCAGTGTCAAGTCTCTCAAGATGGATAGCAACAAGGAGAACTGTTCAGAAAATCTGTCAGACCCTAAGAAACGGCCTAAAAGTGATGATTTTGATTCCAAAAGGGTAAGTTTTAATGAGACTGTCAAATGTTTCCATCATCATTTGTTTGGGGACTGCTACTGATTGTAATTTTTAATTAACTATACCTAAAGCTAGAATGTCAGCAAATTTTGATGTCCAACTATTAACTGTGGGCATTTAACAATTTCACTCTTACCGATTTATTTTTAACATTGAGTTACTGTATTTTTATTTTAAACAAAGATTTGATTTTAAAATAAGAAATATTTTAAAAGTTAGTTATAAAAAATTGAAAAATTATATTGTTTTCTTAACCATCTGATAACTTTTAACTGGCTTGCTACCCAAACTAATGGTTACTGTTTGAATATTTTATAAGTAACCAACATTTACTTATTGACTAATTTTACTAATCCCTAATTGGTTTGTGTGTGTGTGCCATTCGGTTTTGCTTAGAATTCGCTTGCCGAGTCGGAGGCTGAGCACAAGATCAGCGTGCGCGACGCTATGCAGAAGTTCAACCGGCTGGCGTCCGAGAACGAGCTGCAACGAGCGCACCCCCCGTCCAGAAAGAAGCCTGACAAGGTAAGGAAGCGGCGCCCGGCGCCTCTGCCTGGCAGTGCCGGCGCTGCCGCCCACCTCCCGCTGCCAGCAGCGCACGCCAAGTCCCCACCATGCGTGTGGTGAATTTTCATTCCGATTCCTGATTAGAACATTCGATGAGGTCGGTAGAGTTCCCATGCGCCTCTATGACTTGCTGATCGTCATTCCGCTCCGCCCCCCCCCCCCTTTCCCTC